GTTGCTGGCCAGAAGAAAGGCTAAACTGCCCTTCTATCTCAACGCCCTGCGGGAGAAGGAGTACAATGAGAAATACCCCGGCTGCCTGCTGAACAACTTTCACAACCTGCTGCGCTTCTGGCAACTGCACTACCTCAACAAGGACAAAGACAGCACATGTCTGGAGAACGTAAGGCGCCGGCGCTCACATTCCCTCTGCACAGATAGATAAATGATTCCAGGGAAAAAACTCAGTCCAGCCTGGTTGGTTAAAACCCTGAAATTCATTACTGAGTGAGATGTGACACAGCCATACCCCCACTATAAAAAAAAAATGCTTTGATGTTTAAGCTGCACAAAAAAAAAAAACCTTCCTCGGTTTGCAGTGGAAACTCTGTTGAAATCTTTCCATTTTAAACAGATTAATGTGATACTCTTTAGTCATTAAGTGTTCATGTGGTTTTCAGCTGTTTAGGCTGTTTGTCAAACTCCTCACTGCTTGTGCAATAACCAGTCTGAAAAGTAGGTTTAACTTTCTAGCCTTTACATCTCGAATGTTCCCCCAACAACCTTAGATTAACATGGGAAAGAAAATTAAAAGAACCCAAAATGAAGTTTAGGAAGGAATCAAAATTTCCAGCAGCTTCCTTCAGAAAAGCATCATTAGGGAGCGATGGGACAGAAAAGATCAGAACTATTGTTCTAAGATCGACAGTGTTTTCTAGAACTTTTCTGTTATGTTCATTTATAAATTTACTGTCGGTCGTAGAGCTGCTTTAAACAAATGTTATTTTCAAATTTAGTTTTAGACTTTTTCATGTCATTCAAAATATATATGTATAAAATCAGTTTTAAAACGGCTAATCATGAGAATTTGCTCAGTGATGCCGCTGATATCTGGGCGATTCTTTTATTTTAATCCCCAGAATCGATCCTCAAAGCTTGCCATAAATTACAACCCAGTTCAGTTTAAAGCATGGAAGTTTCTCTTTTTAACCAACGCTGTGCTCGGCTTGCGGTTCTTCAACTTTGCATGTGGCTAAATGAGTTGCTTTATTATTGAGCCTGAGAGAGAACATTCTTTTCTTAATGTCAGCTTTTCTTTTTGGGGCATTGTTTCTGGTGGCCTCTCATGTTTTACTTAATGTTCTAAAAATCTGGAGGGAAAACAGGATTTTCTCCTAAATGCAAAGATCACGGTAATTTACAAACAGACCTTGTTGACACTAATTGCCAGTCCAGAACTGAATCAAAGGCTAATTTCATTCAGTCGAAAACTCAGTTTCTTGAAGGTGCATTAAAATGCCTAAGCACATGATCTACATTAGCATCGCGTTCATGTCTTATTTAACTCTCCCCCCACTGACGTCCTGGACTCTACGGTATCGTTTGTTCTTGGTTGCAGATATTTTCCATCAGTAGTTTGTACAGAACATCTTATCTCCAAAGATCTGCACCGACATATTGAGCTTCAGTCTAACCAACGGATGTCTCGCTGAAGTCCTTTTACAATGGTTACATTTTCAATTAGAAAAAAATAATATTTTTCTTAAATCAACCTCCCAAATTGCAGGATTTTTAAATGTTCATGTAGCTGCTACAGATTGTAGATCAGCAATAAGAATGATTAAGGAAAAAAAAAAAGACATATTTAGAAAGATTTTACTAATAGATGTTTTTAGTTTTTCCCATTTAACTCTGCTGTGCAGAAATTAAACACCAAAGTTGAGCTTGAGTTTACGGTGATTTCAGAGCTTAGAGGCATTTTTAACCACTACTAGAAAAATAACTGAACGCCTTGCATAATATTTACACCTCTTGTCCTGATGCCACAGTTTGAGAAGGTATTTTATTCTTTTTAGATGTTTGACCTGTAGACCTTTGAATGTTATTGCTGCCCCCTAGTGGCAGAAAATGAGCAGTGGCTGTTTGAGAGCAACATTGTTCGTCCTAAATATATAACGTGTTGCCAACCTGTTTCTCCTCCCTAAGTAAGGGCATAAGAGAAATAATTTGTGCTTTCTCCCCTCAGAGCTCCTGTATCCCATTCAGCTACTGGAAGGAGACGGTGTCGGTGCTTCTGGGCTCAGACAGAACTTCTCCCTGTTCCATAGTGAGTTACATTGATGAGCCCTACATGGATCTGGACAGGGACTTGCTGGAAGATTGACCGGCAGCCTGAACTCTTGGAGGAGGAAGGAAGCATGGGCGTCTGAAGCCGAAGAAAACTCCTCTGGGCTGATCCTTCTGGGTGTTTCTGTGGCTACGTTCAGGATTTAAAAACTAGCTGTCTGTACCTTCGCATGGAGGCTTTCATCACACTTGTGAGCAGATATGGAGTCTGGCTCACTGACATCTTCTCACAAAGTTTAAATGCTTTTTATTTGGTTTTTCTCTTTTTTTTTTCTTCTTTGAAATGAGAACTAAAACTTGTAGACCCCGTCCAGATGGTCTAACAGACAATGAGACATTGAAAAAAAAAAAAGACTCCTGCATTGGTGGTTTGCTTTATGTGAAATTCAGATAGAGCCTTTTATATAGCCTATACAGAAATCTATGGGAAAGTATCAGAACAAATTATAACACAAAGAAGAAACAGTTTCTTTCCACTTGGACCTGATTTTGGGTTGGCACAGATTGGCACACATGTGCAGGATGGTGCCGTGTCACAGGCTGCCAGCCTCACTCTCGCACTACTTTATCACTACTGTTGATTTCTTTGACACCACTGCCTCACCTAAGGGGAAACCGATGGTAATGTTGGAGAACTTTCACCTGTTCTGTTTTACCACCTGGCTCTTGTTGGTTGGTGCTTTTTGGTTCCTGCTCTTATATCTTAAAGGATTCCTCTTGCATTAGGAAACTTATATTTGTTTTTCCAGGTTATTTTTTTATTCATTTTCTCAGATCAATGGCTTTTAGCTCTGGTTAAACTGTAGAAATTAAACGTTGCACAGGTTCATTCTTTTTATCGTTAAATATATATAAAAATATAAACTCATTTGTTGATTAAAAATGTTTTCATTCTCTAAAAGAAATTGTTTCCATGTTGTGAGAGCTGCTTAATAAAGAGAATAAACTATGCAGGTGCTAGTGATCAAAGAAGACTCTTTGTTCCCAAACCTTCATCTGCATCCAAAGCTAAAACTCTAACCGTTATCCGTTCAGTCCAGTTCAGAAGCACAGCTTGATGTTGGGTTCCTGACTGCTGTCATGTTTGACGTGTACACATTTACTCCAGCCTGACTTAACCGTAATACTGATTCCTTCAATACTTCTAATCAGGCATCAGGATCCATCCTATAGTGTCCAACATTTCTGTCCCTGTTTTAGAACAGCTTCCCTATCTCCTAATGCTGCCACCACCGTGCTTTAGCGTAGGACTAATGCTTTTGATCTCCCCTGACCAAAGTATCTTGTAGAGGTTTTCTCTACATGATGTAAAACAGGAAGACTGCAGTGGGCTTCCTGTTCCCATCGGTCATAAAGGTTGATTGAACACGGCTGAAGGAGATGTCTTTATAATCCCACTTCAAATGTCTGCATGATTTTCTCCTGCCTGCTTTGATCCTTTTGTCATGTTTTTTTTTTTTCTTCTAATCTCCATAGTTCTTCACAGAACGGCTGGATTCATGCTAACAAATTACTCGTAGATCGGCTGGCTAACAATGACATCGATTGGTTGCAGCTGACTCAATTTTCCTCAGCATCAGAGTAAAGATGGTTATGTATATTCTGACTTTTTAGGTTGTCGTATGTAAAGATGAATAAAAACACCTTTTCCTTTTATCTAACAACTTTAAAAATGGCTGTAACAGACTTGGTTAAGAAAAGTCAGGCTGTTTGACTCATCATACTCTAACAAGAAAATACATCTCCACCTTCAATGAGTTGCTTCGATTAAGAGGTCGTTAAATCAAGTTGATCCAACTTAAGTTTTTTAGTAAGTTGCAGAGTTAATTAAACTAAGTTGGGCAAATTTGATTAAATTCCTTTTTGCCAATTAAAGCAATTTAAATTGGAGCTGCCTTTTTCTGCAACGTGTTGTTCCCGAGGTTGAACATTGAGGTGCTACAGAAAGCAACAAGTACAGGATGTAATAAAATGTTAACATGGAAAAATGTTGAAATTTCATTTTCATCCGTTTGCGTTTTAGCCACACCTGGAACCAAGGTTAACCTCTTATCCTCTGGCCCCACTTTTAATGGTCATATCAAAGGTTTTGACACAAAATAAAAAGTCAACTTGAGAATCTTGCTGAACAATTTCCAACAAAAAAACAAAGTCATGATTTTTAATCATAAAATCTTTATTTGGGCGTGTCTGCAGTGATGAAAGGTTTGGTGTTCCGCTTTGCATCCCTCGGCCAACCATGATGCACCGGCTGGATATTAGCAGCGGTGTCCACAGCACCATATGAGACATCACATGAGAGGCCTGTGTGAGTTCATTTTCAGCAGAGGATCACATCCAGTCTCGTCTAAATTTAGTTCCTATAAGCCTGCTGGCTAATTTTAAAAGATTCCTCCAAAGGTCATACGCTTCCATTCTGTAGCATCCTGAGCCGCTTTGTAGACCAATTTATCCTCATCAGCCCCGTCTTTGATAAGAATAAACCGCATTAGATGAACACACCTTAGAGGTGAACTATTCTGTTTGGTTAGAAAATTGATCTAAAAATCACCACACTTGGCACCATGGTCGTCATCTCATAGTTTTTCAGTTTACTCCATAATGAAGCCGTGGTTCCTTGTAATGGATCTTCCTGGTTTTTATGGAACACTACTGTGGATTTCCTGGTTCTCTGTTGGAAGCTGAGGGGTGGGACGATGAAGATTTTGGTTAATTTTTTCAAGATAGCTGAAGGTAAACTGAGGTTATATTTAGAACATTAGCTGAAGCTTACAGTCAGGCTATTTTTTCAAGGCTTTGGCCTCTGTTGGAATCACGGAGATGACATCTTAGAAAGCCTTTCCTCTTAGTCTCATGGTGAATCCGTCCCCCATCTCCTCCCTCAGCTTCGTCTCGCCTCAGCTTCAGGAACAATTCACACGTAGCCTCACTAAGATGCTCTAGAAGCTTTTACAGTCAGTCCATCTCAAAGGCCAGAAAATCTCCATCATTTCATTAACCTGCAGGGTCTCCAGTTTTTGCTCAAGCCTGCTGAGGTAAAACATCCAGTAAGTCAAAATGATTTAAATTTGCAAACATGGGATATACAGTCTACGTACCCATCCGAGTCTTATAGTAGCCATCTGCTCCTCATCCTCTGCGGGGGTCTGCTGCTTCCTGCTGAGGAGCAGCTTCTTCTCCAGCTATTTCCACCCGACCCTGACCTCCAGCTTTCCGCCCCCTTTCTCCTCCAGAGAGATTAGCTCTTGCTCAGATGCAGCAGTGCCCAACAGGCGTTTTACTTTTAAGTTCTTTGAAGACGCCGCCGACGGTCCAAAAAGGGTTGCTTTGTGGGACATTTCTGGAAATAAAGAAATTAAAGCAATTAATGGAGATTTTTGATTAAAGCTATTCTTCTTCTAGCACCAGATACTATGAGGAATTAAAAAAACAAAGTGTTTACTAGTTTTAAACGTAGCTCAAAATTAAAAATGATTTTTGCAAAGAAGAAAACACATTTTTCTAAAACTATTGGAATATTTGTTCCTTTATAATTTGGACGTTTAATTCCAGAAAGCTTAATTTTCTATAATTCTCTATAGTGTTGATGAAAATAATGGTAAAATGATGCATTTGAAAGGACCTTTTCCAGGTTAAACTGATACTACATGGTAGTAAATCAGTGGGAACCGTAAAAAGCAAGTACATGGTCATATGTTTTTTTTTTCAGCTTGGTTTTTTCAATTTGATTAAAGCCCAAATCCTTATACTAAGTAGAATTGATTTGGAAAGTCAACAGGCCAGAGATTAGATTTAAAATTTGTCAGCTTAAAAAATCTGGAGAACAATTTAATGATCAAAGGAAATAACAGATTTAACTTTCCGAACCATATGACAGCTCTCAATGTGTGATGCTGTCCAAAATTAATTTTAAACTGGTGATATGATTATTTAGTAAACATATTTTATTAAATAAATGTCTTGCTAAATTAAATTGAACGTGCACCAAAAATTTGTGAATTAAACTAAGAAATCAGATTTGTCTGATTGAGGATTTTCTCTAAATTGATGCAAAGCAAGAACTTGGATTCCTTTTTTTTATTTTAGTAATTTGATATAGAAGAGAGGATAATCAGTTGGAACTGTAGGGACACTATGACAGAAGGGGTCAATTTAAAATCCTGTTCAAACTGTCCAGCACCTTGGTGGCAGCATCATGCTGTGGGTTTTTTCACTGATGGTTGTTGGGTTGGATCACACCAAATGGGTGAGATAATGGGTTGAAACGTGGACCCCTGGACTGACGCTCATTCTAAGTTAAACACATGCTAACATTGAGCATATAGAATCATCCCAGGTAGGATTAGGCAGACTGAGCTGAAAAGCTGCATAATCGAGCATAAACTATCGGCACTAAGCTGAAGGGTGGTCAAAAATCCAGTCTGAATTATGAAATGACTTCTCTGCAGAGTTTTGATGGGCATTTATCCACTTTGAGGTTAGGTGTGGGTAAATATAGTCTTCCCTTTAAGACAGTTTGCATTTTTTCTGAAACGCAGTGCAGCTTTATCTCGCATTGGGCAGTTCAAAAAGGCCCAAATGAACAACTTTCCTGCCAGGGATGAGTTGGTATAAACTTCTGACTGGTATTGTAACTAAAAACAGGCCTCTCTGTGAAAACAGCGTCATAATATCCAACCAGGCTGTTAAAGGAACTTTATTTTTAGTTTAAAAAGATGCCTGCAAGTAGGTCAGAGACTTTCATCCGGGACTTCCCCGTTTATTTATTGCCTTCTCCTTGGTGCCCGATTTTTGGCTGCAACCCGCTCCTTCATATCTAATCCTACAAATGAAGTCATACGCCCATAGCTGGTTTTATGTGAAGACAAACAGAGTTCGTGGATTGATTTGATCCCAGCTGGAAGGACTCTCACAGCCCTAAATAGGAACCTAGAGTATATTGCTCAAATCTTCCTATTGAGGGCTGGAGAGGCTGAGGTGAATGAAGGAGGGGGAGCTGATTACATTTCTAACATGGCTCAGCATTGGGAGCCCCTCAAAGGTGAGAGTTTGTGGTTATTTAGGAACCAAAGCTCTCTGTCGGACAGGCGGCTTTAATCCTCCGTCACCCACCACTCATCCCATCAATGTGCCCGCTCAGAAGTACAGGCGCTGTGGACAAAAGGGGCCCGGGGCCATCGGGCATCCAGGGAGGGGTTAGTATTTTTAGGGAGGGCCCCGAGCAGCTGCTGCTTGACACATGTCAGCACCTGGCTCTGAGGACACCATCCGCATTGTCTGAATTAAGAAAGAGCAGAGAATGGACGAGACCTGTGAGAGTAACATGGGCGAATGGGAGCAGGGTTCTTATCAACAACGGGGCCCACACACATGCCGGGTGACCATACAAGGACAAGCACACGCCTCACACACGCCAATGACATTGCCCTTGCATGCCAGTCATACTTTCAGCAGGAGAGTGAACGCAAAGGTGTAGAGTATCACTGGCGGCTGAGCGCGGCGTTATCAGAGAAGCAACTGCAGCGTGAGGCCGGCCTCGGAGCGGCAGGTCAAGGACTTCCCTAAAGCGTTAGTAACATTAACATCAAGACCGTTTACAACAAAGGGATGGAAAACATGAATCTTTAGCATTGACATCCTGCAGCTCCTCTTTATGAAGAGGAAAACATAAAAGGAAAGGAAGGAGGAAAAAAACTGAATAAATTCTGAATTACTTTAATGAACATGCAAAGATTTATTCAGTTATTTTGTGAATGTCTGCTGGGTTAAATTAATGAATTTCTCAGGAATATACTGAACTGATATTTTTTAAAACCCAAAGATGCTGATAAAATGGTACTGCAACAATCAGAAATTCTAATTTAATTAATAATTAACACTACTTAAGGAATGTTTACTAGTATTTTATGCTGATGATTTACTTTCTAAACTTAGATATTTATTGAGAAAAATTTTCTACTTAAATTAAACATGCATCAGTCATCGTATCAAGTACTAAGAAAGCAGATATTTCCTTAATACATTAAAAGAGAAGTTTGTGTCTGAATTGATGCAAAGCCGGAACTTTAATGGCTTTTAAATTGTATCAATAATTTGATAATGGCTGAGATATATTCCTCCAAAAAAGTGAAGTAAATTGTGTTAATCTTTTAATTTTTCTGACTGATTAAAAACTGTAAAGTCCATAAATGGGCTGCATGTTCTCCCCTTACTGTTTTTATTTTTTATTTTTTTAAACAAAATATCAGAACCGGTTAAAGCTGGGAGTCAAAGGAAATCGGCATTATCTACAAAATGTCTAATCGGTGCATCTCTACATTAAAAGCTTTGTTGTCAGATGACTTCTAGTTCGCAGGTTACTGAAAACTCATTTCGTCTAACCTCTCAAATTTCCCCTGCCTGTGCTTCCAGTCAGTACGGCTGTTAACGACATCCAGGGAGGCTGCTTAGATCTCTGATCATCTCAGTCTCGTTATTCTGCAGAGAAAAAGTGTCACAAATGAACAAAAATAAATCCAACTATATGAAGTAAAAAACAAACGCCAAATAAGTCATTACATTCAAACTGTTGTTTCGGAACTTCCTGACGTTGAGGAGAGCGAAGCCAGCACAGACTTAAAGTGATGTTCATGTGAACATTGCCCTAAACATCACTGCAAGTCTTAACTGCCTCCGGTCCGACTGATCGATGATGATGATGATCATGAATTCCCCAAGAAATCCAAAATACTGACAGACTCAAAAATCATCCCAAACACTGAAGCACAATCAGAGTGAGCCTCACCTTGTCAAAGTAAAAATAAAGATGCCTTCTTCACTGATCTGCTTGGTTAAAGCCTGAAAAAGGAGAAATTAAATGTAAAACTGTTTTCTTTAAGCCTTTAGAAAGAAAGCACACATGATCTATTTTTCTCGAAAAAACAACTTATAACTAATACATTTTTGCAAGACAAAAATAATCTAGCAGCTCTAAACCAATAATTTTTTTTCTTTGATGGACACTTTTTGTACTTTTTACAGAAATTATGTTCCACATGATGCACAGCTGCTCTAAAGAGCAGAGGCTTAGGTACAGATCCGATAACTGATCAGAGAGACAAAGTCTATCATAATTATAGATTATAATATATATTATTGACCAATGCATTAATGAACATGTGTTTATCCTGCAGACCCACATAAAGAATAAAATTAACTTGAAATGTAATGCAAAAGAGATAATAATCAGACAAATGTTACTGTAGATGTTTTCTTCTTTCTCTCTTACTAATTAGGACCATATATTATGACATATTAGATCAAAAAGATCGTTTAAAATCCAGAAAAACTAGACATGAAAAAATTTGCTCTGACTATATTCTCACGTTTGCTTTCATTATTATGCATCATCTCTTATAAATAAATACAAATTAAAAATACCATACCATGTTAAAATAGTTTCTCTATAGTAACTTTTTTTAAGGATTATAATTTCTAAATAAATTAACTCACAGTGCAGATCGCCGGGGAGTATAGTTCAGGTCAGACAGAAATGTGGTGTTTCTCCTTCAACGGTTCACCTGCTCCACAAGCCAGTCTCCCTCATCCTCCCTAAGAAGAGAGAAGTTATTCAAATCTAGTAAGAAAAAGATGAGTTCTGTGCAAATGAATGCTAATTGTACTTTAGTCGGTTTCCTCGATTTCATTTTGTGTCGGAATGTGGAAACCAAACAGTTAAAGTAGTGTTGATCTAGAGGTGTATTCTGTGTATATTTGTTGGAGCTTATAATGTTTTCAAATATCTATATGTGTGTGTGTATAAACTTTTAGGAAACGGATAGAAGAGCACATTTCTGCTTTCCTTATTTTGCATAATAACCTTGCTATATCCTCTGTTACTTTAATGGTCTTGTTCTCCAAAGTGCTCTATGTAAAATCATTGTAATATTTCAATACACATTAATCAAGCGCATTTGGTTTTTTTTTCTTATGTTGTACATTTTCACTTACAGTACATAGCTTTGTGTGAATCACCATGCTTCAGTTGACGTATTAACACCTGATTTTCCCACCGAGAAACAATAATGGTCTATTCTATTTGATTTTGCCGGTTATTTGCAATAATCTCCTCTTTGAGTCATAATATGTGTGAAATTGAAAAGTTTATTTTAAATAATGAGATGCATAAAGACAAGCTTTAATTTGAATGCAATAAAAAGGAACATTGTGAAAGAACAGACTTTTAAAAGCTCTGTGTTATGGGAAGTATCTTGCAAAATGAAAGGTTGAAGAAAGCAAAAAACAAATGTTAGGAAAAATGAAAACGTGGAGTCACATCAAACTGTTTTTAAATAAAGGAAACAATGTGATAGAAGATGACCCCACTGGAGGGATGAGTATTTCTAAAGGATAAAATTACATATTAAAAACCATTAAAATAAAATGAATTGCAGGAGGTGGTGAGCAACCCTGAGCAACCATTTCTTTTTGGCAGATTTTTTTTTTTGGTTGCTTCTTTGAAATGTAAAAAACCATAGTGCACATAAGATGCTCCATGCTCCTGTTCTTTTATTCAGTTGTATGTATCCAGTCTTGGCAGTTTAGTCAACATTATGGTGGGTCGGATTGTCTTGCAGTGTCAGGATGAATTTACTACACAAAAAAGTTTATAAAACAAGATAAACCTCTAGTTAACCAACTGACCTAATATAACTATTGTCCCAAAATGCCAAATGTGGTTCAGACATCAGAAAACAGACGACATAACCAGAACAAGAAGCAAATATTCACTCCATCGGTGCACATTTAATCTAATAACTGCACCCTCTTCCACATCTACATGCTCTGTCTGTATGTTTGCATTAAATTGGTGTTTTTACTTACTGAACAGAAAACTCCTTTCAGAGCAGTGGCTCCTCATATCCTTTGCATCCACAGTCACAACGGAAGAGATCAGAGGAGCTCTAAGGAGAAACATGACATCTGATTATTGTGATACGTGACCCGAAACCGTTCTGCAGCCTGACATGAGTCCAGCTCACATCTGATCTTTGTCATTTAATCCTGCTTCTGAGGGGAATATGGAAACACTGAGGAAGGGATAACAGGGACACTCACAGGGATCGTCCAGGGTCCTCTGCTCAGATGAGGCTGTGTCAGAATGGCCCTGTCTGTGGCAGAGCTCTCCACTGTGGGAAAGCAGACAGAATAAAGGAGGATGAGGAAATACTGATGGATAAACGCAGCACAATGGACATTTACCCACTGAGTTCATTTAGTTTTAGTTTTAATGTCCCCTGGTTCTTCAGGGTTCCAGCCTTAATTCTTTTAAACCTAAACGCACAGCAGAGGGCTTTGCTTTCAAATAAGATGATTTTTGAAACAGCAATTGTAAAATAAGTTTATCTGGAACTTTTAAGTTAGTTTTTCAAGTTCTTAATTTTAAATTACATATAAATAGAATAAAAGGTTATATGAGGCATAAAGTGATTCATTTATATAAACTTAACATATACATAAAACGTGGACAACATAATCTGCACATATATTGTTTTTTTTATTTTAAATAATTGCAATTCTTTTTTACAATAATATCCATTGCATCCTTTTTAGGGATTTTAATTTGAAGAACTCTGATATAAATATTAAATATCTCATTTCAATCTTTGGTAGCACTATTCAGACCAAAACGATAGAGTTAAACACGTATAAAACTACTAACTAGGCCCAATAACTAGTAGTCTCCCTTTGAGGCCTACCGTGAGAGATACGCCTTCAGAGGATCCACTTGGATCCACTCCCCCAAACTTCTCCCACGTGGAGGCCAAGTGGAGAAGCCTAGAGCCAGACACGGGTTGTGGAAATCCTTTGCTGAGAAAACAGCTCTGAGTGTTCAGGCCTTGGACAGCTGGAGCGGCTTTGGAAAGGGCCGGGCAGCTTGTGCGCACTGAGCGCATGCCCTCCATCACCAACTGAAATGGTGCCATAAAAACGTAAAACCAAAACAAAAACGCCAACTGTTATTTTAAAGGATCAAACATGATTCTGAATTGTTGAACTGATCATAAAACACACAAACAAAAACAAGAAAACCCGCGGCCTGTCTTCGCGCAAAGCAAAACGCGTAAAACTGGAAGCGTCCAAACAGCGCCAAGACGCAGCGCGCTCAGTGACACCTCCTTCAGATGTGTCCCGCTTTATAGTCTGCTCCTCAAGGTCACGATCAGTGGACATCTGTCCCTCATTAGCATATGCCACCTCCTCCGCAGCCCATTGGTGCGGAGCCTCTGTCTCAATTGACACAAAAGGAAAGCTACGTTTTTGTCATAGCGCTAACCCCAAGCCGGCTATTTTTGTATCCCAGCTATTCCATGTACTATACACACTGGGAGGGAGTGGGAGAGAGCTGGGAATTGACCTGAGAGCATCTCAGTAAGAGAGGATTTATCTTTTTTTTCCCCCACTTTAACCAGGCATCATTCTCATTTTAGACAATGATCTGGATGAGAAACCTCTGGAAGTTTCATCCAGGAGGCTTAGAGCCCCTGAAATGCTGCAGCTCCTAAACAAACATGAGGTTTGACTTTGATGCTGTGGGCCTGCTGCCCTCTGAGTTACGCTCCAGCAGGTCTGTGATGTCAGGAGCTGCTATTGTGTGGCTGCAACCTTAGAAGAGATTATTTCAGGAGCTGTGTGGCATTAAACATGTTACTATAAATACACTGTGTTTTATTAATAGAGGGAAACATGGCATGAGGCTCCTGAATCACTGCAAGGTAAAGTCAATACCATAAAACACCCATTTTACAACCATCAGCAGAGGAATTATTAATGTATTCTATTCACATTTGTTCTACTTATCAGCAAACCAAAGAGAGACATTCTGCTGCTTCAGCAGCAGTTAGTCTAACACATAGATCTGAGGAAATTTCACTTCAACAGAGACACATGTAACATTTTCGGCCATAGTTGCTGTAAATGTGTGTATCCAGTTTTTGCTCTGACCTTCAGCGTCGGGGGGGGGGAGGTTGGTGCCTGCTGTGGGAGCCGGGTGAGAGAGTGGGAGGGAAGAGGACCAGAGTTTCTCAGAATAGACAAAGCCAGAGTCCAGCATTCCTGATAGGGAGACTGGTTCTGATGCGCGTACATGCAAACTGGGCCAGAACCAGTCTGGACTCCTCACAAACACCATAAATGCTCTCAAAAGCATCGCTCCCACTTCAACTTTAACTTTTTGCTACATTAAGACTTCATACCTCTGTGTATTTTATAAGGATTTCTTGTGGCAGACAAACATAAAGGAGGATAATTGTAGAGCAGGATGAAAACAACACTTTTTTTTCTTGATTACAAGAAATTACTGGAAGGTTTGGTGTTGGTTTGTGTTGGATTCCACTTACCGTAGTTGAACCACCTTATGTTCTTGGTTTGTCTCTACAAGCTTTAGATCTATAGAGACTACGATGTAGAGCTGAGAGCATCTATGAACATCAGTTTAATGTGCTACTACAGGTTTTCATTAGAGTTAAAGTAAATAGATTATTCTAAAAAGTGATCCTAAACCTCATATGATACTTTTCACTGGGAAGATTTAGTTTTCAATTTATTTCTATTCAACAAGAAATTTATTTCTGAAATATAAATTAAACAAATATTTAAACATGTAATAAAAGTGAAAATGATGTAAAATAATTCAGGTTTTAATTTACAGTTGATGAAAAAATGACCAATGGAAAACTATTCATACCCCCTTAAAAAACGAATGGACAAAAAAAAAAAAAAATCCACTTCATCAATCAATATTATCTTATCATTTCTAACCAACTTTCTGCTCTTTTTTCGTTGGTACTTTGACGATGAGCTCCAGGTCTGCGAAGTTTAAAGACCTCTTTGATTTAGGGTTTTTCTCTCCCTTTGCAGAATAATTTTTGTCTGATTTAAAGACTCTGACTCAGTGACTTCTAAAGGTTTACAGATTTAACTTGGTGTCAAAATAAATAAGTCAGAATAAATTAGATAAACGTACACCTAAATCTGCCAGGAGTCGGAATAATTTTGACCTGAACTGAAGTTGCCTTTTTTTCATACCAGTCTTCATTAAAGGCCAGATTTGTGGAGATTATAAATGATAATTAATCTCTGCAGCTCTTCTAGAGTCACCAGAGATTTCTGAGCCTTTTCTCTGAATAATGATCTTCTTGTCCCGCATGGATTGTCTTTGTATGATGAAAGTCTTTTCAAACTCTCACTAATTTCATTTCAGATGATAAATTGATCAGTCTGTAAGATATTAGTTTTTATTATTTTAAAGGCTAACCCTGCTGAGAATGTCTTCCACATCTTTCTCCTTACCGTCCTGTTGTTCTTTGGTTTTCCTGATTCTGTTAATTTACTTTTTAAGTCAAAAGCACACCACACTTTTCAGATAAATTTTTAAATAAATAAAATAAAGCCTGTATTTTTCTTCATCCTTTTAGTGCTAATACTCTGCTCCATGCTGTTCTGTTATAAAAAGCATGGATGTTTGTGTTTCATCACAAACCCTAGTTTAACAAACACTTTAGCAGAGGGTGGTCATCCTGTTTGACGCTGTTATCTGTTGCCGTGGCAGCCAGAGAGGTGTTGCCGTGATGGCTGCAACTTTTCTTGGGCATCAGTTAGATAGAGCGGGCCGGGATCTATTCTGGGACAAGGGTCTCTTCAGGGAGGCAGAGGCTGGTTTGTGTACCGTGTCACTTGTTGCTTAAACGACTGGCATGCTGATAACACGCAAGGAGGAGACCAGTCCCAAACTCCCCAGAGCTGCTGGCTTTAAATAAGTCCACAACCACAACCCCCCCGCATAAATACACACACCCACACAAAGAGAAGGATGAGTGCATGCAATGCTTGCATCGTCCCCCCCTGCACATCTCTCTGCACTGCTGCAGCTCCCTGCAACAGCTGACCTCTCTGAGCAGCAGCTCCCTTTACTGCTCCTAGAAATCATTTCTGTTCCCTGTTCTACATTACATCTAACTGTTGTATGCTGCCGTTTTACCTTAACAAGCGATGTTTTACAAGCAGATATGACCTGCAGGCCTCAGAATCTCTGGGCTGAGGCATCAGGATTGGTGCGCCGACATTTTGCGGATGAACAAGAGGTGAGCTGACATTTTGAGCCTCATGCAGGAGGTCAGCCACAGCTGTTTAAGCCACAGCTGTTTAAGGTCACAATCTACCGAGAGCATTTATTATCATATAAGCTGAAGGATTGGCATCAATTTAGGATATGAGTTTTAAAATTCAAGCTGATTGTTTCCATCTAAAAACCAAGAATTGTTGTGAAATGTATAATCAATATAACTGATCTTCATTTTTCCCAACATATTTCTTACATTTTTTTATTAATTTGACTTATATTTTATGGTAAAAGAATAACCATGAACCCAGTCAGAGTCCTGTTTTGAACCAGATAGAGAAGATAAAAAATGAATCAATTAATTTACCATGAAATATAAGTAAATTTTATAACTGGTCAGAAATTATAATGTTGGTTATAGAGAAGGATTTAAAATGTTTTCTATATGAGAGATTTTGTTTAAATGTAAATAAAACAAATTTAATTTCTAGGGAGGTTGTTAATTGAATGGGATCGAATAAGAATAATAGAATAGAATAAAAAAGAGGATTTTAATTATCTGCCATAGAAAATTCTCATTAACAATAGGGCTTATCTCCAAAGAAGAAGAACTATAGTGGTGTGACAGTGGCAAAAAACTTATGAAGAACACTAGTTAATTTGGTAAGCCAAAAATGCAAGATTAAAAAAAAAAAACTGCTGTATAGCATAAGGAAAGTTATTAATAGAAAGGACATATTCAGGGGAAGAAAACTGACACAAGTCAAAATATTTAAAAAGGAAAATAGAAGTTAAATTAACCAAAAACCAAATAACAACAAACACATTTAAAACATACACAAACATGTATCCACACAGGCCAAAATATTTACAAAGAGAAAAAGGAATAAGCTATTCTTAACGGAAAAAAAAATAATGGAGAAACAACTTTAAATTATATATAGAAATATATATAAATTATAGCTATGTAAGAATGGCAACGAATGAATGCAGATAGAAGCAATGCTTTCTGGCAACAAGATGAGCTTTAGTTTGAACGTTCTGCATGAAGTTGTTTATGTCTGGGTTCTCTTCGGCTGCTCCAGCTTTCTTTAATAATCTTTGAAATATGACTGCAGGGTTGATATGTCTGTTAGTTACGAGTGTCGCTGTGCATGTCTGTTTATTCTCTGTCTGTGTTACCCCCACCACCACGGTAACACAGACAAACTCTACACTGACACAGAAAATAAAGAAAATACACACACAAAAAATATATGTATGATGACATCTTATGGAAATCAGGTGACTTCTGAATACGGTTGGTTGCAGTGTTTTGTATTTAAAGGCGGCACAGTAAAGGGGACTGGACTCTTATCCTTTTTTATTAAATAAGGATTTAAAAAACAAACACTATTAATTCTGCTTCCCAAATGAAATACAGTGAGGTTTGTGGTTTTGGTTTGACAAAATAAACAACAACTCCATAGATATGGCTAATTTTGTAAGGCACATTTACAGTTTAGATCTTATTAGTAGCAGGATGTCATAAAAGTGGTGATATGTTACACTGAAGTATTTTACATTGATTTTGAAGTTTGGAAAAATTACCTGCAGCGTGATTTGTCAAAGGTAGACGTGGAACACTGATAAAAATGTACTAAAGTTACACGTTTCTGTTTATGAAATATGTTAATAAAAAGATAACTTAAGTTTAAAGCTTGATGCTCTAACGTCACAATATGTGCGAAAAGGTCAAGGGTCTGCATCGGTATGTGAGTAAAGTATAGGACCAATTTAAGATGATGACGGCTTTTAAAGTCAAAACTCTTTTTTCATTTAAAATAAAAAAATAAAATAAAATGATTTAGGGAATAATGAAAATAACAATTTATCCTTCATCAGATTTCTATTCTTAATTTTATCCAAAAGCTGTTTAATAAGAGAGATCAGTGAGAAGTAGTTAGTACTTTTATTTCATAATGGCATACATATACAGAGAGCGTTTAGACGTTTGTAAACACTTGATTTGATTTATTTTATTTCTGCCTCTTCCTCG